TGGGATTTAATGGCACTGGGAATGGGTGGGATTTAATGTCCCTCCCAAGCCAACCAATCCATGACTGGGTGACTCCATAATGTCCATTTTCCATTAATTAGCTGGAAAAGCTTCCTGAGCCCGGGCAGCCAGGCAGGCCCTTGAGCAGCTGAGGCACGGATGGAAGCAGATCAATTGCTCTGGGCCCTGGACCTCCTCTCCAGCCCCATGGGATGCCCTGATGGGAACCCACCAGGGAAGAGCCACCTCAATCCCCTGCAGCAAACACTTGGTGGAGGAGGAGAAATGCAGAAACGAGTAATTTCTCATTCATGCCCCAATTTAAAAAGCACTCGATCCTTCAGCAGACACAACTCAGAGCATCCCGTGGATAACTTTGCTTGACATCTATTTTTTTCTTTTTTTTTAAGATGTTTGATTTGAAAATTCTAATTAAATCTCAGCAGCAGCCACTCAGCTAAATAAATGTGGGAAGCATTGTTGGGGACACGGAGCTCGTTTGTGTTATTTATTTACTGGAGATTACAAGCTAAGGGAAGAGGTAACAAATAATCCCCCTCACCTCAGAGCTAATCTATACTAATTATAAACTGCTCCAGCCTCAGCAACCACAGGGCCCAATTACAGCAGGGAGGATTAAGACTATTTAACAACAATGGAAGTCATGGCCATAAAAAACCAGGAGCATGAATCAAATCTTTGTGGTAGAGATAATACATAGAAAGGATGGAGTGCAGCAAAAAATAGATTTTTGAAGTGGCACCTCTCAGCCCTGACTTAAGACTCTTGTGTTAATTAATTGCAGAGCAGGAACAATGCTAGAGACCGTGAAGAATGACCCTCAGCTTTGTCTCTGGCCATCCCTTGGCAGGAATTCACTGAGCTTGCAGCAGATCCTGCAATTAAAAGCTCTGTTTTGCTCCTGAAGAATGAGTTTCAGCAGATAGGCTTTGGAGGAATTTCATCCACAGCTAAAGCTCTTCAAGGCATACCCAAAAATGATACAGGAATGTACACACAGGCACCTGCTGTGGAAATTCACAGAGGAAAATAGAATTACAGGAGGACACAGATAGAGACCCCTCCTTGGAGCTGCTTTTCTGCTGACAGACAAGCTGAAAGTGGCTCACTTTATCTCCCTGCAGGCACGGGGCTGGTGGTTCTGTGGGGTTTGCAGGGGTTCTGAGAGGTTTGCAGGGGTTAATTATGGGTTTACAGTTGCTCTTTGGGGTTTGCAAGGGTTTTTTGGGGTTTGCAGTGGTTAATTAGGGGTTTGCAGGGGTTCTTTGGGGGTTTACAGTGGTTATTTGGGGTTTACAGTGGTTATTTGGGGTTTGCAGTGGTTCACTGGGCTTTGCAGTGGTTATTTGGGGTTTGCAGAGGCTCCTTGGGGTTTGCAAGTGTTTGCAGTGGTTCTTTGGGGTTTGCAGGGGTTAAATAGGGGATTACGGTGGTTATTTGGGTTTGCAGTGGTTCACTGGGCTTTGCAGGGGTTAATTAGTGGTTTGCAGGGGTTAATTAGGGGTTCTTTGGGGTTTGCAGGGGTTCACTGGCAGCTGCCCCCCTGGACCAAAGCCACTGCCCACCCTGCTGCCCGGGGGGACAGGGCAGGTCCTGCAGCAGCCTGGCAGTGCCACCAGCCCGACTCAATGATAAATCCCAGCCCTTGGAAACAAGCACAAAACTCCCACTTCCTTCCCCCTGGCTTTTCCTCCCTGTCCAGTGCAGAAGAAGCAGCAGGGGAGGACAGTGACAGCTCTGTCACCACCAGCACGGACAGTGCGTGCTCTCCCCACCAACAGCAGCACAATTCCAGAATCCCCGGCAGGGCCAAAGCCGGGGGCAGCCCCAGGAGAGCCGTGCCTGATGTCCCAGCACGGGACAGCAGTGCCAGGCAGCAGAGCCCCGGGAGCAGCCATGGCACACAGCAGCTGCCAGGAGCAGGAGAGCTGCCCCAGAGCCCCCAGTGCCACGGGCACTCCCAGCTGGGATTTCTGCTCAGCTGGGCTGGTGAGCAGGACAGATCACCTTTGGAGCCTGTTTGACCTACCTTCCTCATCAATTCTTCACTGAATTAGAACAGACTTTCCTCAACTACGTTATATTAAGATGTTCTATGAGCATTTTCCAAGTAGTTCATGGCATCCTATTCATCGGCAGAATTTAAGGATTTGTTTTGCCTCAGCCTGCTTTGTAGTTTGCTCGGCTTGCTTGGAAACCTTGAAGCCCATAAGAAATTTTGACAGTTCTCAGATACTGTCAGTTCAAACAATTAAAAAATTATTACAAATGATCTTTGTATCACAGATTTTAGAACAACAACAGCCTGCTCTGGGGCTGTGCCTTCTGAGGGGGACTCAGAAAAACCAGCCCCCAGAACTCATCTGCTCTGGGGAGCCACCTCTCCTGCCCTGCCAGCACGGAGGGGCTCGGTCCCCCTGCAGCATCCCAGGGAAAACAGGGATTTTGGGTGAACAGCAGTTTGCCTCTGTCGGGAGCATCCCTGGCTAACTCAGCTCGAGCTCCAGCGAGCCCAGCCAGCCCCGGGGCTCGGGGGGCTCGGGGGGCTCGGGGGGCTCGGGAGGGGAGCGGGGCCCTCTGGTTACTTGCTGCAGCCTCCAGCTTGCGCTTGTGCGGGGGGTCCTCGAGCAGCCGCGCGATGTCCCCGCGGTGCCGCAGCGCCAGCGGCCGCTCCCACACCGACAGCTGCGTGCTGGCGTTGAAGAAGAACACGCGGTCATCGCCAGTCCACACCACGCACCTGGGGACAACCCGGCCTCAGAGCCTGCCCACACGGCAGGGACCTGCCCGCAGAGGGGGCACTGCGGCCCTGGGACCCCGGGGAGCACCCAGGGACACACAGGGATGCCGTGGGCACACCCAGGGACACCTTGGCACACCCAGGGACACCCCAAGGACACTCAGGGACACCCTAGGGAAACCCAGGGACACCCCAGGTACATCCCAAGGACACTCAGGGTCACCCCGGGCACACCCAGGGACACCCAGGCACACCTCGGGCACACCCCAAGGACACTCAGGGACACCCCAGACACACCCAGGGACACCCAGGCACACCTCGGGCACACCCCAAGGACACTCAGGGACACCCCGGACACACTCAGGGACACCCAGGGACACCTGGGCACACCCAGGGACACCCAGGGATGCCCCAGGGACACTCAGAGACACCCAGAGACACCCTGGGCACACCCAGGGACACCCAGGGACACTCCAAGGACACTCAAGGACACCCAGGGATGCCCCAGGGACACCCCAGGGACACCCAGGGACACCCCGGGCACACCCCAAGGACACTCAGGGACACCCTAGGGACACTCAGGGACACCCCGGACACACCCAGGGACACCCAGGGAAACCCCAGGGACACCCCGGGCACACCCCAAGGACACTCAGGGACACCCCGGACACACCCAGGGACACCCAGGGAAACCCCAGGGACACCCAGGGCACACCCAAAGGACACTCAGGGACACCCTAGGGACACCCAGGGACACCCCAGGCACATCCCAAGGACACTCAGGGTTACCCTGGGCACACCCCGAGGACACTCAGGGACACCCTAGGGACATCCAGGATCACCCCAGGCACACCCAAGGACACCCAGGGGTGCCCCAGGGCCACCCAGGGATACCCCCGGGCACACCCTGGGTACACCCAGGGACACTCAGGGACACCCTGGGCATACCCCAGGCACACTCAGGAACACCCAGGCACACCCCAGTGTGGACTTGGAGCAAAGATCCCATGGCTGCCAGCCCCTAGGTATAAACCAAATAAACTAAACCAGGTATAAACTAATTATTGCAGGGGTAAAGGAGATAAAAATCCTTCTATCAGCCACTCAGGCCACAAAGTGCAGTGCTCTGCCCCCATGGCAGCCCAGGGAGGGTCCTGGGGAAGGGGTGGCCCAGGGGAAGGGGTGGCCCAGGGAAGGGCCCTGGCAGCTCCTCACCACGGCGATCCTGGCACTGGGGCCGATGCCACGGGCTTGTTCCCGCTGGAAGCGCTGTCAGCCTGACGCAGGAGCTTGAAGGAGTGATCCTGGAGGCACAGGGGGGTGAGTTAACAAACACAGAGCTGCTCCTGGGGTACCAGCCCCCCTCCACCTGCAGCGGGGCACCCTCTGGCCAGGAGGGGCTCTATGGACAGCCTGCTGCCCCTGGCACAGCCCAGGTGAGTGGGGATTACAGAAATGCCTCCCCACTCAGAGCAGCACGCAGGACAAAGCAGCCCAGCAGCTCTGGCCATGCCAACAGCTCCCGTGGCACAGCGGGTGAGGAATAACCCCGGGGGAGGCACCCAGCAGGGGCTGGGGGGCTGTGCCAGCCCTGCTCCTTCCAGCAGCTCCCCTGGGACTGCCCGGGGCCATCAGCACTGCAGGAGGGACAGCCTGGCCCCATCACACAGCAAAACAATGCCTGGAGCTGCTGGAGAGGTCCAGAGGAGGCACCAAATGATCCCAGGGTGGAGCCAGCCTGGCACACCTGGGGCTCACCTGGGCAGGAGCAGCTCCAGGGAGAGCTCAGAGCCCTGCCAGGGCCTGGAGGGGCTCCAGGAGAGCTGCAGAGGGACTGGGACAAGGGATGAGGGACAGGACACAGGGAATGGCTCCCACTGCCAGGGGCAGGGCTGGATGGGAGATTGGGAATTGGGAATTTTTCCCTGGCAGGGTGGGCAGCCCTGGCACAGGATGGAATTCCCAGAGCAGCTGTGGCACCCCTGGATCCCTGGCAGTGCCAAGGCCAGGCTGGACACTGGGGCTGGAGCAGCCTGGGACAGTGGGAGGTGTCCCTGCCATGGCAGGGGGGCACTGGGTGGGATTTAGAGTCTTTCCCACCCAAAATGCTCTGGGATTCCACGGGGACCCTGATCCCCTGACAGTGCCAGAGCTCCTGCCCAGCTCCAAGGTAAATTCAATCCGTGGCTCTGTAAACCCCACACAGAAGGATCCCGAGTGTGCAGCCCGGCCCCGAGGAGGGTTTGTGCAGCTCAGGGGCTCTGGGGGCTCCGGGACAGACCTGGCCACTGTCCCTGCCCCTGGGGACACTCTTCCTGTCCGTGGTGTGCAGGATCAGCGTCGGGGGGCAGGCGGCTCTGCTCGACTCCTTGCCACGCTCTGTGAGGGAAGGGAGCTCTGTTAAGGTGCAATAAATAAACTCACAGCAGGCCAAAACTGCTGAACAATCCCCAGAGCCTCCTCCTGCCACCTCCTGCCCTTTGCTCACAGCCCTCGTGCCCGGGCTGCTCTCCAGGCAGCCCATGGCAGTCCATTTCCACTGGAACCAGGGAAATCCCATCTCCTGCCCTGCACAGAGGCTGTCTCCATCCTGAAATCCCAAACTTGAGCTGGCTGCTGCCTACAGCAGGTGTGTGCCAGCAGGGGCACAGCAGGGAGGGGCAGGGAGGCAGCGGCCGTGGGACAGAGCCAACACCCCCCCAAAGGATGTTCAGAAATGTGGGGTTGTCTTAATCTGGGATTTCTGTCTGCTTGTCCTCTCCAAACGCATCTCTGGGCTCTGAGCTGGGGGAGCTGGCCCACCCCTCGTGCAGCAGGGAGGACAAGGTGTGTGTGACCCCTCTGCACACCCCCAGGCCCTGCCACATGTCCCTGGCTACCCCCGGACCCCCAAAGTGTCCCAGGCCAGGCTGGACCCTGGGGCTTGGAGCCCCTGGCCCAGGGCAGGTGTCCCTGCATGGCAGGGAGGGGCACGGGATGGGATTCCAGCCCAGAGCTCTGGGTTCCATGGGGCAGAGTCACCTAGAAATGCCACTCCAATTATTTCACAACTCCCTGGGGTACAGAACAGGCCCCCATCTGACTCTGCTTCCCTCGGAACATCCCAGAATCATAAAACATTCAATCCATGGCATTTTGCTCAGAAGATGGCTTTATGAGAGCAGAAAAGGAGATTTACAAACCAGAGCCATTAATTTCCACATTAAAGGAGCCAGGAGCAGGGAGCTGCTGATACACATCAAAGGGGGCTCGAAATTCATCTTCCTTCCCTGCATAGCTGTAATTGGGAATCAAAACCCTCCCAGGCACTTGGGTCCTCTGGACACGGGGAGGTGTCGGTACCTCCTCCTGCCTGGCACTCAGGGGTGGCACAGGGGACAGCAGTGCCCCAGGGGCACGAGCAATGGCCAGAGGTGACGCTGGCACTTTTACAGCCAGCACTGACTTGAGACGCAGCCATGGATTCCACAAGACACTGAAGCCATCACGAGACATTTCCAGCTCCTTTTTCACCCCAAACTCAGCAGCACGACCAGCACTGGTGAGTTCTGCTGGAGGAAGAGAGGAGGTGGGGATAAAGGCTCCTGATTGAAGAGGCTTCTCCCAGGCTCCAGGCAGCGCAGGGACATGAATAATTCAGAGATGGCAAGGAAAGGTGAAGCAGCAAAACTGCCTTGGGTATAGCACAGAGGATGTTGGGTGTGATCACAAACATCTCCTTAAGAGCAGAATTAGAGAGGGAGGGGAAGAGGGAAGATGGATTCATGCCTTGAGGAGCTGTGGACAAGGCATAGTCAACATTTGTTTTGTAAGAGGCCAAACCTCCATTAATCTCAAAAAAGTTTAACAGTTTGACCCTTAAGTGCTCCCAAGAACTGGATTTTTTAAGCACACACATGCCACACTGTGGGGTTTATCCTCCCCCAGAACCTCCCCAGGCCAGCTCTGTCTGTCCCTACAGCCTCATGTCTCTGGTGTCTGAGATCAGCCTAAAACCTTCCCTGCCTGACCCCCAGCTCCTCTTCTGCTGCCTCTTACTCAATCCAGGTGTGGGACCCCAGCTCTGATCCCACCAGCCAGGTCCTGGTCCCAGTCCAGGTGTGGGATCCCAGATCTGGTCTTGTCCCAATCCAGGTGTGGGATTCCAGCTCTGATCCCACCAGCCAGGTCCTGGTCCCAGTCCAGGTGTGGGATCCCAGATCTGGTCCCAGCACCACAGACCCTGAGCCAGCCCCACCCCAGCAGGTCTGGGGGTCCCATACCTGCAGGACAGGACAGGACACACCTGGCTGCCAGTGAAACACAAACTTTAAGGAATTTAGAGATTTTAGAGGAGCTAAGATTTTAGTTAGAGATAAGCCTTACTAGAGTTAATTGAAATAAATGAGTAGGCCTTGATGAAGAGTTAGTAATTAACTAATACTTGATTTCTTGTCAGCACATTGTTTAGTTAGATGGGTTTATAATGGAGAATACACAAACTGATAAAGAGCTTTTAGGAACATAAGACAATTGTGGGGCTCCTCTGTTCTGAAACCAACTGAAGACAACAAATGGGAGTTCTACCAAGAGTTCATTTGTCATATTTGCATTGAAAAGGTAGAAAGGTCAGAATGAGGAAGACTTCATTGACTTCCTCATTTTGGGACCCCTCCCCATGAAAGGGACACCGACCCATTCCAAGGAACAAACTTAATGTTTAATAGCTTTTGAAATGATTAGCATAGGAAGTGAGGGATGGGATGTACCAAAATGATGAATATTTGCATTTTGGGTGTTCCAATACTTGTATGGATAAAAAGGCTCTGTAATCACCTGGAAGGAACGGTGTGGATTTGGGAATGGGATGTACCAAAATGATGAGTATTTGTATTTTGGGTGTTCAATACTTGTATGGATAAAAGGGCTCTGTAACCACCTGGAAGCTGCGGTGTGGAATGGGATGTACCAAAATGATGAGTATTTGTATTTTGGGTGTTCAATACCTGTATGGATAAAAGGGCTCTGTAACCACCTGGAAGCTGCGGTGTGGAATGGGATGTACCAAAATGATGAGTATTTGTATTTTGGGTGTTCAATACCTGTATGGATAAAAGGGCTCTGTCATCACCTGGAAGCTGCGGTGTGGATTTGGGAGCGATCCCACACCCAATAAACACTCACTTTCTAACTTTAACCTGTCAGAGAGGTTTTGTCCCTCACAGCTGGATATCGGTGCTGGATCAATGTCCACATTCCTTGAATCCTTCCCCAGGCCAGCCCAGCACCCACCTGCTCGCACGGGCTCCAGCAGGTTGGTGGCCAGCAGGGTGACGGCGGGCGCGGTCACGGCGGTGACACGGGTGACCTGTGCTGGCAGCAGCGGCCCCGCGGCGGTGTCCAGCCTGGAGGCAGAGCCTGAGAGCAGAGCACAAGGCAGCAGTGGGACTGTCCCTGCTAAAGAACAATTCCCTTTAAGACCCCCAGCGTTTCTGCCCAGCCCTTGGCACTCGAGGCCATGGGCAGTGGTGGCACGGTGATGCACTGGGGGATCTCAGGGAGCTTTTCCCACCCCAGTGATTCAGGGAATTCATCTACTGAGCGCATCTCCTGCTCCCACTGCAGGGTTAAAGCAAGCTCTGTGTTCAGCTCGATTCCTGGCCACGATGCCCATGGATTTTCAGCCGATAAACAGAGCCAGAAATTTCAAACTGATGAAAATGTGGCCCTCTAAGTAAGAATTTGCCAGGATAGATCAATGCCCTCCCAGCAGGTCACAGAAAGATCAGTGTTCTCATTTTAAATGGTTTCCACTGGTACTCATCACAACTTCTTGGAGTCCCAGTCTATCCATGGGAAATAATTTTGCCAACACTTCAGAAGTGCAGCTTTCTCCAGGGATGAAGAGTCTGCTCGGACAAGGCCCAAAGCAGAAACTCTCTGATTTGCTCACATGCATTATTCACGAGCAATCAGTGACCCAGGGTTGCTGCTAGAACCAGGCCAGCTCAAGCAGGCTCCCCAGCCCTGCAGATTAATTCCTGCCCCACCTGAGGCCAAACCTGGAGCACCCATTTCCGATTGACTGGGGAGGTTTTCAGCAGCTGAGCCACACAAGAGGCACCCAGCCCCGTCTCCTGGCAGGGTAAATCCATGTCCCATTTCCCAGCCAGCACTGCCAGTGCCGTTTGTTGTGTATTTATAGCTGTGCATCACATCCCTGCTTTAGGGCAGGCTGGGAATAACACAGTTCCCAACACAGCCCAAGCTGCAGGATTTCCTGTCCCTTCCTTTCACCAGCTGCCACGGGCTGTCCAACAGCTCCCATCCCAGTTCTGCCCATCCTGGAATGACATGGATCATTTCTGAAACCTGCAGTCTGTTCTACAAGCCACTCACACACTCTGAACGCTCTCACGGATCTGTGTCCCCGCAATTCCAGGTGCCACAGCACAATATTCCAGCACAGAACGTGGAATCCCAGCCTGCTGTGGGCTGCAAGGGACCTCAGAGCCCACCCAGTGCCACCCCTGCCATGGCACGGACACCTTCCCTGGCCCAGGCTGCTCCCAGCCCCGTCCTTGGGTTCTGTGAATTCTCTGCACCCAAAACTGGAATAATTTCCATAAGTTGTGTAATTATCCCCTGCAATTCCACCCAGCACTCGAGACGAGCTCTGCTCATTCCCCACCTCGGCTCCTCCGCCTGCTCAAACGTGACTTGCCATTATATAATTTCAGCTGCTTCTTTATGTTGATTTATTATCCAATCCAGGAACAATATCAGTGCATCTTTTGATGTGATGGAAGCAATTATCCCACAGCTTCCATCCGCACCAGAGTCAAGTATATATAAATATATATTCATATACACACATATATGCATTTCATACATGCGGATCGAGTTCAAGTGCTTATTTTAATTATAACTGCCGCTCACCAAATAAGCTGGAATGATTTAAGGCAATCTTAACCTTTAAGGAATAAATATTTATGCTTTGGAGCTCTTTGTGCTTATGAAGAGCAGCCTTTGCAATGGATGGCTTTGGAATACAAATCCAGCCTGGCTGGAGCTGAATGCCACGATGCAACATCAGCCTGAACTGAACAGAACCCAGGCTGGAACTCCACCTGAGCGTGAGCCCGCACGCCGAGTGTGTTGGGATTAAATTTAGGCCAATTTTACTCTAAAACAGCCCTGAGGAGGGGGAAGGAGGAGGAGAGTGTGGTTCCCTGTGGAGTTTTGGGTGCTTGCAGAGCCAGGGCGGGCTGATGAGCCAGCAGTGCCTCTGGAGAACATCTGCCCACTCCTGAGATCATTTCAGCCATTGCCCAGCACCTCCCAAACACAGCCTCCCCTCCTTCCTACTGCTCCTGGCCCTGTCACCCTGTCCCTGTCACCTCCTGCTGTCCCTG